AATAGTTTAATGTTTATACATAGATGCTTTCACTTTAGGGCTAATTTTAACCAATTCAGTTCAATTATGTCAATCCACCACAAAATAGAAACTAATAGATATTTAAATGACAAAAACAACATATTTCTCATTCAATAAAAACTCAAAATTCCAATTTAAATCAATCAATAATGTTATATAATTTATGCAAATCAATTATTATGAAAAAGTCACTTTCATACTAATAAATTAAAAATTAATTTCTCCTATTTTTTTAATTTCACCTCCTTGCCGCTATAGTCTAAAAGTTATTTTAGATAAATCTCAACACTTCTCACACATGACCTAATTAACAATATACATATGACTATAATTATAATTTAGTTAACAAATTGAATATACCACTATAATTATAAAGTGACATTTATTCATCTTTATCTCATAAACTATACATGCAAAAACTCACATATAACCTTCCTTCCAATATATAGCCCATCAGGAAAATGATAAAAATAAACTTATAAGAACTTCTAATGAGGAAGAAATATTTTACTTGACATCTAAATTATTAATATATATATATATATATATATATATATATATATATATATAAATAAAGATGAAGAATGTGAAATGTTAGAAGAGAAATAAAAGAGTTAATTGTAAGAGATAATGATTTTAAATAAACAAAGATTGAAAAATTAAGTTTTTTTATTTATTTATAAAATTTTTTAACTTAAATAAAAAAAATTTCATTTAATTTAACCCCTTCATCCCTGAATAAATTCGGTTCTTACAGTCTAGGTTCAAATTGAAACTATCCTGGATAATATGATATTCAACTTCGAACTATTTTGAATACCCATTCTCAATATTTTGATGATCTCATCTTAAACTATTCTGAAATATTTTATTTTTTATATAGTAAATATTGTGATTATTTGAACAAGTTTATATATACTGAAATTTTTCTTGTTTCTAAATCAACCGTTAATGTCTACATGGATTAATCGAAGCAAAAATACTGCACACTTCTCCTCCCATCTTTAATTTTTTAAAGCAGTGAAAGATCTTTTTGAGAGTTAAGGGATTGTGGCTTCTCCAAAATTTTGTAAGTTTGATGTAATTTATGGTTTTAGCCACCTAAACTTAATAAACATTTAATATATTCTATCTTTTTAGTCTCTCCTTAGTTTTGTAATTTACATTTAATTTACGATTTTGTCCCCCTTAAATTTAATGATTATTAATATATTTAAGTATATATTTACAATTTTATCATTTCATCCTTTTTTTTATATTTATTTATTATTTATTAATAATATATTATTTAATCTTATAATAAATCATAGGTAGAAAGAGATGTATTAAGAAAGATTGAAGAAGAGGAGGGAAAAACCAAACATGACCCGTGTGTACAAAAACAAATGTACGTGAAGCCCTTTTTGTCTTTATCTGTTTGCTGAGTGTTCCTTCGCGGTTATTATATGCATATGTATGGTGGAAATAATAGGAACGAAGTGGAGGAAGTTCAATAATGTGAATTGGTCACTACCCTATAACCCTACTTTTGCATGCCTATCCTTCAACATCTGTCTTTTGTTTCTGAAAAAAGAAGACAAAACTGAAAAGATGTGAATCATATCCACCCAAATGTGGCCAATACACATTCGTGGACATGTATTTACTACTCATAAATTTAGAGACATGTGAAGTTAAGAGATAATCATTATATTTGAATTTTTTTAACAAATGTGATGAAATATTTGAAAATTAAAAGAGTTTCTATGGACACCAAATATGAAACCTAAGGTAAGGATGCATGTTGATATGTCACTCCCCCTACACCGCGTAACACCTTGAAACTTCAATTCACTACATTAAAATGGAATTAACCCATGAGAATAAATGAGACTTGTCATGGCTTGTGAATTTTTTCAGAAAATTATTTGATGACGAACAAATATTTACATATGAATTGTCACCCCCATTTTAGTAATAACGTCTTCCTTTTCTTGTCTCTTCCTCTTTTTATATATGTATAAAAAGTACTTAATAAATTATTCTCTATATTAAGTCTTTTTCTTAAAATAGTCACTTTTCTTTTTTTAATTTAGTTTAACAATAAAAAAATAGGATTATTTGAATTAAAAAAAGAAGTTAAAATGAATAAAAAATTATATACATTTATTTTTTATTATCTGTTTTATTTTAATATTTTAATTAATAATAATAATAATAATAAATAATATGTTAATTAAAAAATTTTCGGATATACGAATGATAATTTTTTATTTTTCCTTTTAACCCCTTTAAATTAAAAAGGGTTCTCACGTTGAATACAAAACTATGAAATGCTTATAAAATTAAATCAATACATTTTGTTTGTATTTTGATTGAGTGATGAATGATTGCTTACACTATGTACTTTTAGAACTAACTTCAATTTGTCGTTTCAACAATATGCATAGAAACAAATTTCTACAAAATATCAAATTCTTCATTTAACATAGTTTTTTATTTACAAATTTTCGGAATTTCCTTAAAAATATATATTTTTTAAAATAGAAATAATAAAAAGATAGATAATTTTTTTTATAAATGTATTTCTTCATTACATTTTCATCCAACAAACTACGTTAATTACATTATTTAAATTAAATATATTATTAGAGTTATTGTTATAAATAACTTAATTCTTTTATATAGATGGAGAAGGAGATCCACTATATAAAAAAAAATCTTCAAGTTGACTAATCCTATATGACTTTTTTTTGGTGTGTACCAAAGAACGTACTCAGGTTCAAACAATAATTAGAAGATTATAGTTTAATTGTGGAGTGTGTATTAATATTATTGTACAAAAGAAAATGTGGGGTAAGGTTACCATTTTTAAAATGAAATAACTTGTATATAAAGAAAAACAATGTGAGTTTTTAGAAATTTGTGAGAGTCACTTCCATGCCATGCCATGCCAACTTCTCCTTTTTAATGAATGAAATGAAAGGGTCAAAGTTCATACTTAATAAAAGCATGACAATAAGGTATTTAATGCATGAGAATGGAGTTCCACACCTTTTTACAGAGACAAGGGCGATTTTTAAGCTCTCATGCAATTCCAGAATCAGAGGCAGTCCTCAGAAAAATAAATAACCATTTCAAATGCATTATTTTATCATCTTTTGGTCTTTTTGTCAAGCTAGAACCTCTTTTGTCGTAAAAAGACGCAACATTATCAATGGAGTCTTTTCTTTCAACTGTGTACACCTTTATGTGTCCACATAGAATATTATGACCCAATTTTACATAAATGTTCAATCAAGAGGAGAACAAAAAGTAACTACAATACTTTGTTTTCAATTTAGTTTATATATCATAAATATTAATCCTTTTGCATGAAGTTATTCGTAATTTTTACGAGACAATGAAAATAATTATTCGAGATGTGAATACCTGAGTATATGATGTCCCCTAAAATTTATTTTGATTGAATTGTTTTAAAAGTGTTAATTTTATTTGATATATTTAAGATATCAGTTACTTGCAATTTCTGTTTATTGTTTTTATAAAGCAATAAGTAATTATACCTCATAAAACCTGTTTTGGTCCTGTTATGTTCTGGAGACTCAACTCACCTAAACTTTTATAAATAAATAAATAATTTTTCTATACAAACCCTGCATCATATGTTATAGCACACTGTGAGAAACTATTCATATTATTAGGATAGGGCACACAACTAAAACTATTCATATAAGTCTAGGGCACATAAGGTCTCATCAGTCACCAGATGTGCCTATGTCTCTAGTTAAAGTCTTGAAACAACTTTTGTAATAAGCCAAGTAGCTTGCTTTAGCTTTTGACAATCAAGCATTCACCTTTAGACAAACTTCAGGAAAATAAGACCTTTTCTGTTTTCCTCATTTCCTCCACAGTTCATAGGGTTTAACGCAATGACACTAGAAATTTGAATTCTCAAGTTCATGATTAGGGGGAAATATCTCCTGTTTAAAAAACATATGGACATTAAAGGTTTGTCCTTTTAAGTTTTTAGAATAATAATATTTTACCAATTTATATATATATATATATATATATATATATATATATATATATATAACTATTTGATATTCTTTTTATAATAATATAATATTAAAAGTTGTGAAAATATTCTTTTTATTATGTGCAATCATAAATTGTTGTGAGTATAGCTTTCTCGTCAGTGGTTGTGTGTTGTTGAGTGGAGAAGTAGCATACAAGATCTTAAAAGCTGCATGTTCTTGCCTGGAACGAAACCCTTTAAATTTTGGGATGAAAGACGTGATGTCAAGACGTTGTACTTAAAGGGCAATTTCTTTTAGAATAAAAGGAAATAATAAAAAAAAAAATCAAAAGTTTATTAGAAGAAGTTGTCAGTTTTTGCAACTGGTTCTGTCTCTTACAATATGAACAATTTATACAACTTTGTGCCGGTTATGTCTTGTTCGCAAACAACTTTGGGTCCATGCAGGTACTAAAATTCAGAACCAAATTTCATGCTCTATCTAAGTTTTTCTTGAGGAAGATACAGAAAGTTAACAATACAATCACCCCTTTGTGGCAAACTTTTTTTGCCTTTCTAAACTCACAGAAAATGGTCTAAAAATCCAAATGAAGCCAGTGTTCAAAACCATTTTACATGTTTGCATGCCAATTCGAAACTATCGTGGAGTCATATACTACTAAACTCTTCAGTTCATAATTAAATTAACTGTATTATTTTCTACTAACAACAAATCCTCAAACCCCATTTTATTTTCTACCTATTTTGGCAAAGTATGTAAGTGTTGATTTGATTTCTGCATCCATTTTGAATCTTGGATACTGTCACGTTTAAATATTGACTAAGCATTAAGATCTATACATTAAACTTAAAAAAGATATTCATTTTACTTACATGTGAACATAAATTGTGAGAAACATAAAGGTGGAGAAACTCATTTAGAATGGTCTTAAATCTCAATTGGTTACTTGTTCTTCTACTAATTATCAGTTAAATCAAACCATATTTGCTTGAACACATTGATAATGAGGTCATGATACTCATCTGAATTAAGACTAAGATAGCAAGCAAGAAGATCCTCCAAATCCTTTGATGTCCTTATGTTGTTCTGCACAATCATCTCCACCATTGATTCTCTGAAATCCCTCTGTGGATTCAGTGATGACTTCACAATTGCAAAGCTATCCGACAGGCTTCTCCGGGAGCCGGAGCTGGCTGCGGACACGCTTCTCCGGCCATGTGCCTGAATTTTCCGGCTTGCAATACGCGGGGAGTTCATCCGAAGCCTCACTCCTGGAGAAGAACTCACAGAGAATCTCCTACCAGGGGTGTTCTTTTGTTCCTTCATTGGTGCAGTGTCTTCCTTCATAATTTTAACTCTCAGAGATCCCTTCAGGTTTGGTTCTTCTTGTGCACCCAATTTGGTTTTGGTTTTGGTTTCTTTCTTCTTAGCATCACTAAGCAAGACATCGAATTTTGCAGGCTTGGTCACAATTGGTGGAAGCACAAGGTCTGAGAAGGAATCATATTCATACCCTTCTAGCTTATCATCTTTTCTGTCTATGGAATTGTTATCTACATCAATGATGATGTCCTTGGCGTTGGAGTGTAGCTTGCAGACGCAAGAGTTGGACCAAGGAACCGTTTCATCTAATGATTCAGTGGCAAGAACACGGTCTGTTCTGAATTCTGGGTCAGGGTACTCTGATTCAGCAGAGCTATCATGTGGTGACGGGGAGTTGTTATTATCAGGGACAACAGCAAGCTTAGGTGAAGAAGTCCTTGCAGTTCTTCTCTTGAGTCTTTGTTTGGAGGATTTTCTGGGAGCTTCAGGGGAAATATTGTATTTGGCATTTGGGTTATTTGTTGGTGAGGTGTAGATTCTATCACTTGGGTTAAGCTCCCTTGTGAAGTAGTAAGACTTTCTGGGATTGAATTGGTGGGGTTGCTTTGGTTTTGATGGTTGTGTGGTTGAGGCTGGTGAAGTTTGTTTTTTCTTCCTGGACTGAGTTGGGGTTTGCCTTCTTGCTTTTCCCATGTCCTTGAGTTTGTAAAACCAGGCATTGGGGATCATATCAGATAGTTTGAACCTGTAGTTACCCATCCCTACTTGCGTCTATGTTTCTCTTTCTCTCCCTCTCTATATGCTGTGTTGAAGAAGTTGCGGTTTCTAGTTCTCTCAATGATGAATGTGTCTTTGGTTTGGCACTCATGGTAACGTGAGATAAATACAAGAGAAACGAGGCTTTTGAAATTGGAGGTAGTAAGAAAGAGCTGGGGTCCACAAGGGAGGAAAAAGGTTAGTAAAAATGAAAATTAGTGGGGGCTGATGTGGTGATTGGTGAATGACTGTTACCTAATCCAAAAAAACAAAAATAACATGTTCTCTTCTTTTACTACTACTCAAAAGGATCACAAAGGTGATTTAAAATGCCCTTCTATGTATGTATGTGATTGATTCCTAAGTGGATTGCATGCTAACAGGTATCTTCATAGGAAAACAACAATTGAGTGTGGCCCTTTCAGTATTTGGAGTGTTTTCCCTACACCTCTTTAGACCTGAGTGCAGGCTCTAACACTAATAGAGAAAAATATGAGCCAGACCAATCTGTTATGTCCTGAATGTAAAGTAAAAGCCCTATACTTTTGTGAGTGGAATAGGAGATGCTATTTTGCACAAAGTCCATTGGCTCATTGCAACCAGCAAGCAATGTGATTTTGGTTAAAAAATTGTTCTGACGAGAAAGGGAAAAGGAACACACAAGAGATAACTGTGCTGAAAAGAATTTGAGGGGCAGGGAAAAGAGAGAAGCTTTCGAAATTGGAAGCTTGTTGCGTGGGTCAGGAATACATGCATCCAATATAGAAAAATCGCAGTGGCCCATCTAATAGATAGATTGTGCAATTTTGGATTACTCTACTTTTTGTTATATTCTTTCTTATGATTGCTCCTGTATCAGGCTTAGGGAAACAAGAACATGGGTCTTGTTAAATAGTCAAGAGTCTTAGTTTGGCCCTGTGAGTCTATCCATCATTTTCTTGGCAAACTCTTCACGTACCATGTCTCTTTAGGCAAGAAAAAGAATCAAATCTTTCTTTAGATATCTAATAACTTACTACATGTAATCTTCATAAAAAACAATTTTAAGTGAATCAGATACGACCATTTAACATAGTTACTCGAATCATGACTGCTAGTTAAACCAGAAATCAAATTATGACCTTTCAGCTGGGTTACTGGAATCATGACTACTACTTAAACCAGTAATCAAATTATGACCTTTCAGCTCAGTTACTCGAATAAAGACTACTTGTTAAATCAGAATCACCAATAAAGTTTGTGCAAAATAGAAGAGATTTGTTTTATTTATAATAATAAAAGGAAAAGGAAGGATAAGTTCAAATGGATAGGTTGTGGGATGAGGCGGTGAGAGCACGATGAGAATTTGAAATTGATATTCTTTAAATCCATGGAGCCTTGAATGATAGTGTGGTACATGGTGTAAATAAATCATGCCAGAGAAATTAATGTTGGCTAGTAATCTTGCAAATTTGCGTTGGGAACATAATTTGTACAATCATTGCAGTATTGAGCAGCATAAAATATAATGGATGAGGTACATCCATCCATTCTTTCTTTCATCCCAGAAGCATATGCAGATAAGGTGAGGCATTGTTGCTTTGCCTTAGGCTTTGGGAGTAATGTTGAACCTGGTCAACTGGTCCCCTCATGGATCCGTGCAAAGGTACAACACCAGTGCCCACCCTAACGGTCTTGCCTCTGTGCACGTGTCTAAACTGGAAGCAATATTCAAGAACCAATTTCACAAACTAAATGGAAATGATTTTTTGGGTTTTGGGGGACCCTAGAGTGTTTCTGCCGTGAGAGAAATATATTAAGGTTGTTTGTATTTTTATGAAGGACAGCATGTATCTCGTGCTGGTCTAATCCCCTTGTTTGCTACCTCTTTTTCTGTTTTGCTAGACCTATTCATGATATCTTGTATAAATAATGGCATTTGATTTGATTGACAAGAATGGCATGTTGTTGTTATTATTTTTGGGTGGTGAGTGTTGAATCTGTAAAGTTTGGAGTTGGATGAGAATGGGTAAGAGTAGATTCTCCTATTGGCCCATTTTGTGATAATCAAATCACTCTTACCCATGTTGTCATTGTTTTGTTCTTACACATTGTAGTTGTGGTTGTAGGCCCAAAACAGCTTTTTTGGTAGCAGTGTGAACTTGGCCTGATCAAATATCAGGATAGGCAGTGAAAGAAAAGAACAAGACATGTATGGTGGTAACTACATAGATTAGGACTTAGGTCCCTAATTCATCTTCCAGTTTTCATCTGATCTTGCTGCCACTTGACATTGGGACCATATAGGAGAGAAGGGCCACTTTGTAAGTTCGAAGTTTGGGTTTTAATTGCAACAAATTGAAATATCAGTTAACAAATACATGCAAGATCAAATGGAATATAAATAGTGTAATGATAAAGTATATAAACAAGGAAAATCTTTTACAACTCAATTTTATAAATTGAATTAGGTATTTTTACTTTTTCTTTTACTTGATATTTAAGTGAAACTAGTTCAAGTAATTTCTTACATACCATTTCTATTTATTTTTTAAAAAAGGTGGGGTACTGACCAACTCAGGTTCTTGAAATGAAACTTCAAGGGCAGGGGGAGTAGTTATAAGGAATATTTGTAGAGAAGTAGAGTAGGGGAAAGTAGGGCAAGTACCTAAAGGATGCAATTAAGATTATTTCCCAAGGATCAACACAAGTAAATAAATCAAGAATTTAACTAGAAATGCATTGCATTGCAAATAATCAATCCAACAAAATTAGAGAAATTCATTTTAGCTCTTTCATTGATTTCAAAAGATTAGTTTTATTCTTTTGTCAATTACATGTTTGATTTAGTGAAAATATAGTAAGCATTAAGTAGACCTGAATTAAGCATTAACATCTTGGTTAAATTATACCAGTGAATTAGGCATGTGATATGTCAAACTCTCTATACTCAACATTGCAAGAGAATCATAGAACAAACCAATTAACTAGAAAAAAAAAAATGAACAAATGAAAATTTTAACATCAAAAGTTGGACGCAGAACCTGGTAATTCAAATAATGCCCTGAGAGAAAACAAAGATGCAGAATGAAGTTAAAAACAAAACCAGAGAGAAGAACACGAGAAAAGTTAAAAGAATAACGGAAGGAAAATTTTCTTTTGTATTCTCCTCTGCCCTTTACACATAAAAACCTTATTCTGTTGCAATCTTGACCAATTATCTTGTGGGGTGTTTGAATTTTTCTTCAAAATCAAATTTAATTTTGAAATTTCACATTTTTCAATCAAGCAGTGAGTGGTGATGCAGAACTTTTGTAGTAGCTCATATCAGAAGATATCCTTCAGTTACTCCAAGCTTCCAACTCTTCTAGCTTGGAAATGTCATTAAAGATTCTCAATGAGAATGTCAAATTTGATTCTGGTAATTTGGACTAGTTTCCAAAAGGGTCCTCCCTAATTTTGGTTAACACAGATGTTCCTTGTCCAGAAGTCAATAACTAATCGTTTTATATGTATTGACATCCATTTAAATAATTAATGTCTTCAATAAATATTTTCCTTTAGACACGTAGGGTAAGTTAGAGACTAATTCTTCAAAATAATGATTTAAGACTCTGACATTTATCAACAATATTTACAACATGTTGGCAAAAGGAGTTCTCTGAAGAGCTTAACATCATTAACATTCTGCTATGAGCCTGATATTGAGTTGTAAATTCTCCTACCTAATTGAACTAGTATTTTTTAGGTTAAACTCTCCTTTGATGCTTTGGTAGTTAGACATGTTGTATGAGTTTCAAGCTCCCAAGAAACCAGTGTGCTGAATATGCAAACCAGGGTACATTAATGAGATGTTTGTTATTTGCAGTGTTCTGATGAGGTCAGAGGGTGGTCCTTCAGGCACTGATCATGGGTTGGTTTGTTGGGGTCTGTAGGTTCTGACAATTGTTTCTATGGCTAGGAAACAATATCAGTGTATCGTCTCTTGGATAGTAGTTAGACATTACCTTTACTACTTTATAATTGACGTACGCTGCGTGCAAGTCGTTAACACTGTTTCATGATTGCATTAAGGTTCGTGCCATCCAAATATTTTAGCTTTAAAGTGGTAACATATACACACACTGATATTATTCCAAGTAGTATTTACAAGAACAACTCTCATAATGTCACTTAAAATGGTGTTCGTTGTTCAAAACTCAATCCAAATCGTTCCAAACTCTTTGAATCAATTTAAAAATACCAAAAAGGAGAACAAATTGTCATACCCTCCAGAATCCATAATGTAGCCGGACCCCGGTGGTAGCCATGGGCTGACAAGTGACACCTGGTGAGAGAGCGATATCACAATCAAAGACAGTTGAACTAGACTGGTTCTGATAGAGTCAGAGTTGGTAATGGTGTAGGTTTTCTCATAAAACATGTAGGCCCTTGCATTTTTCTTCTCCCTCTTATTCAAGCTTCTTCATTCTCAATCAATTTTTCGTGTCTCAAATATTTCTAAAACATATATATATTCGATTGGAAATCAAATAAAGAGTAAAATAAATGAAAAGACAATGTGTGTATATATATATATATATATTATATAATATTTAGATTACTATAAATATTAAAGGTGAACTTTATGTCCTTCTTCAAGTCCACTGTTTTCTCTTTCATTGCCCATCCTCCTCAAAATATCTCTATTTCACCTTTCATTATTAACTCACACTTCATCTAATAATTATTTTTATTCTAATCAAATCTGAATTATGTTTTACGATAGTTAAATTAAAAGAAAATAGTGAGACAAAAATTACTTTTAAAGTATCTTAGGTTGTGTGTTGAGATGTTTTATGTCAATTGATGACTTATTGGGGGATTAAAAATACGAAAGGGATTGATATAGCTTCTTCCTGAACGCTTCCCTAATCCAGATTTGGCTAGAAGTAGGTTTTGTTAAATTTTAATTTTTTATAACTTTTGGCTACTTCTTATGAGCTTCAGAATTACTTCTCATTTCAAGCACTAATGTTACTTGCGACAAAATGTGGAAGAAAAGATTCCAAGAAAAAAAAAAAAAAAAGTCTAACCAAGTACCTCAAAAGTAGAAGCTTCTCCTATCATATTATATATTCATACTAATCTTGAAAATGTTATCTTGAAACAATGATTGCTAAAATAACACTTCATCTTTTTAGCTAATTTCAGATACTAGTCTCACTAAGAGTACAAGTTTTTTTATGTTTCGTTGTGTACAATATTATATATAGAGAGAGACTAGTAATTTAACATTATTGTATATATGTTGTCTTTTTATACACCATACATAAAATGTTGTTCTTGAACTGAATTATTTAGCGTGTGTTGTTCTGTCTGTTTTATACTTTAACCTGTATCAAAGTGTTACAATGCTGTGTATTGTGACATTTCTTCAATCTCATATTTGCTTTATAATAGAACAATATCTACTTGTATTTTTCTCCCCTTAAATTATATGTAATTGCAATTTTAGAAGAGCAACATCAGTTCAAGAATGACCAGTTTAGGAATTATTATATTTTTGAGAATATTATAGCCAGGAATGTTATCTTAAAATTATAAACAAACTATTTTTTTACGCCAAAAAATTATCTTAAATGATGAATTTCCTTATTAATTATGGTTATTGTATTGTGTATGAGATACATAATAAACAATTTGGATAACATCAAATAAAGCCTCCTGAAAATCCTGGTTCTCTGGTTACATGAAAACAACCATCATCCAAACCCATGGAAGAGCATTGTCTGCTTTAAGTAGATTTGGAGAGAGTTCAACGATGGTGTTAGAACCAGTGTGGTTGTGCACGATTCAGCATGAATAATTCTTTATAAACACTTTTAAATAAGTTTTTCTGTAATAAAATTAATTTATTCATAAGATAAAAAATCAAATTTTGAAGAAACTGTGAACAAATCTCTATGAAGTAGTTTATAAACTTCTATCACTTTTTTCTTCTGATAATGTTTACGATAGTGTTTATGGATCAATTTATTCGAATAAGTCCAAACAAACAATAACGGAGTGGATATTTTGATATTTTTAGCAGTAGAGTAATGGTTATAATGCATGGCAAATTTGACTAACAGTAAGCTTCAGTGGTAAAGGAGATATCACTCTTCAGCATATTGTCCAAAGTGTACCTAATAAGAGATTCATTTTTCGGAGAATATGGCAGGTAAAAAGGAATTTGCTAATTCTATCACTATGCTCTGCAGTATGATTCCTCCAAATTCGGATTAAAAATTGATAATCAAGTTTTTGTTTACTATTTTAGTCACAGGCTTTAGTTTTTGGAACTTAAACTTGACATAAAATTTCCTATAGGTATGCTACATACTAATTTATTTACTTAGTTCTGTGCCTGTTTTAATTCTGTCTTGATTCCATCTTTGTTGACTACTTTGAGTGTCCAATCTGTTTTATATATATTGCAAACTTGCTGCATAAGCTGATGAACAAACGATTGGAGCTCGAACAAGATACACTTGCATGTCAACTTCATAATATAATGACAAAATAAATGCTTCACTGCCCTTCAAGATTGTGGAAACATTTATTTATTTATTTCTGTTCTACCACATTGCCATGCTCCAGGACTTTAAATTTCCAGGATATATCAAAATAGTTGAGACAGCTGTTATAATCTCCAGAATGATCATTACTGCATGAATCATAGTTTTATTTTTCAAAATACACCTTTCTATGTTGCGGTTACATATTATAGGGGAACAAAGAGAGAAGAAAGAAAGAATTAGAAAGCATTATACAGAAAATATGAGCACCTACAGGCTAGAAGGAATGTCACGTGACTTCCAAATATTGGAATCCAGCAAGGTGCAATATCTTCCAAGCAAACTTATTTCCAGATAACATTTCCAACACAACATGAACATATATAGGATGTCAGATTTGTCACCTATTTGTTAAGAATCTGGAGGAGTTTCTTTGGACATGCAAGAATCAGACGGTTCACAATGATCTTCTCATATGTTCAAATTGCAAGTATTCTTCTTTGGCACCAGACTACATTAGTGGTTATTTTTTCCTCACCAAAAGAACAGAAAAATGTAAGAGATCGAACTGATAGAGATCAAAAGAATGATACTATATAATTAACACCAAATTATAATTATAAACCACTACATGAGCCGATTTCCTCACCCTATAATAATTAGCAAGTCTAACTACAGTACAACATCAAGAGCCTTTTGTCCCAAAATTTAATTCACATCATGCATATTAGGCACAACACAATCACCAGCCCATTGGACAGTTAAAACAGTAAAAAACATTACTTTACTCATAATAATAATAATAATATACAAAAGAAATTACAGTGCTCAAAAATTCCAAGCAGTTGATATGGATTTGGTTCTGCCTGACTAATCTTTGTAAGTCTCCATAAGTTTGATTACTTTACAAACCGCATAACATCAACAATTGAGTCACCTAATTCAAGCAATAAAACCTGAGATACCACGAAACCTCGTTCACAATGAGGAACGGAATTAGTTTTGTAATTTTCAGGCCACCAAGTACGAAATAACAACATCACTGAATCTACTTTAAAAAGTCAAAATCTTGGTTGTTTTGGTGATAATGAGTCTTCCACTGAATAATTATTTTTCCTCCCCCATTTAACATTGCTTCATCAATTGTCATAAGTACTTTCAGTAAAAATTGTTCACACATCTATGATTTTCTATTATAATGATTTTTCTTCTAAGCTTCCTTTGACAACGGCAACAGCCGTTTCAATTTGAATTGGAAGATAATTCCAACCTAAATCCAAACCAGGAGACGGTATCAGCATTCTAGAAAAGAACATGATTTATAGATAGAACCGAGTTATAGTGATCTTTCATGGGCTCATTCATGGGCTGGGATGTTCACAAGCTTCGCCCGTCGAGTTATCTGATCAACTTCCACTCGGAGACCGAGTGCATTAATTTCAGGCACATCAGCAGATCCCTGAATCTCCAATTCAGCAACTACCTTTTGGTTCTCATCATTGCCCTCCAGCAGATTCCTCACAGACCATATCCCCCATTCTCTCAGGAAAGAATTGTCTTCATCAGTAACACACTGCTGCAATAGCAGTAGAATTCCATTCCTATTCCGGATTTCATCTTGCGCATGCTTCCTTCTATAAACACAATTGCCAATTAGCGCAACTATGTCTCGTCTAAAGCCCTTGTAAGGGCATGGTTTTGAGTAACAACTAGCACTATCTTGATTCTCGATTAGTTTGAATCCTTTCCTGATTATTGCTGGAGGTTCAAGGGCACCAAGCAAAGACAAAAGCAACTCTGTGAGCCCATTTGACAATAACACATCAACAACATCACTTGTATCCTTTGCATAATCTTTCACACCATCTTGAGCACAAATGTCCCTCAATATGGTAAGAGAGTAGCCAAGAACATCAACCCCAGCTAAGCCACTAGGAAGACCAGACTTCCCTCTCATTGCATGTTCAAGAACCCCTGTAGACTTCTTGAATATTCCAAATACAAACAATGCAACATCATTTGAAACAATAACTTCTCCAAGCCGCTCATTCAAGATTTCCGATAGGATTTGCAGAAGAAATGCTTGATCAAGCGAAAACTGATCATCTTTTGACTCAGTAACTGCTCCCTCAGGAATATCCACAAACTGCAATTTGGAAAACAACACAGGCAATTGAGATTCTTCAAGGCAGATTCTTGAAAGGAGCAACTTCAACCAATCCTCACCAAAACTAGCTGGCTCAGGAAAAACCAATGGATAAGGAAAAAACTCAAGAAGAATGAAAAAGGAAAAGGATCAGTTTTACAACCAAAAAAACATCACAATCTCCATATGACACTCATGACAGCATAGAAAAACATAAACGTATACAAGCAACATGCTGCAGCAACAACAAAAGCATTGTCACACTAAATGAAGTCCTCAACTACACAGGTTATACAGTGCCATTGTATTTTGTCAAAAAGACTATTTAATCAAGGAAAAGAATTGCAAGCAAAAAGGAATGAAAAAATGAAAAAGGATCATATAAATTAACAACATCAGTGCTACAACTTAAGAACTCTCGCAACCCCAGATGAGAGGACAACGTACAAAAAAAAGGGCAAAGTATATAAAGCAGATGCATAAAACTACTAACTCACCATAACAAGCTGTTCTCACTAGTTCTGCCATTACAGGCCAGCCATCCTCACTGGACAACTTTTTAAAGCATTCAGGATTTCCATCACAGCAAGTATAAATCACCATACACAATGGGTCACAAGTCTCCTTAGTGCCAACTCTAGCAAGTGATACAAACCCAATAGGATATAGCTCTTCCCAAATAGCATGCTGATGTTCTTTCCCCCCCAAAGAAACATTTGCCAGAACCTGAAGACCCCACCGTACAAACCCACTATCAGGGCCTGACGAACCAGCCTCTGATCTCAGAACACTACAAACAACTGCCACGCCATCAAGCTCAAGAAATGAGACCTGGTTTGCAGCTTCTCCAGCACACAAGTTTCTAAGGAGCTTGAAACACAGAGAAAGGGTATGATGATGGTGATGGTGATTTGAAGCTTGAGCAAGTGACTGGACTATGTTAAGTACTGCAGGGAGAATCCTTTTCGAAGCTAGTTCCAAACGTCCAGAATCGGATTTTGCATTATGAATGAGAATCTCCAAGGACTTCTCCAAGTTAGAAGAGTTGGAAGCTTCAAAGAGCAACTGAAGTGTATCATCTGATATAGGTACCTCCAAAAATGTTGTATCACCCATTCCTTGACGGAAAAAAAAGAAGAAAAAATGTGAAATTTCAAAATTAAAATTTGATTTTGATAGAGAATTTAAACACCCCACTATCTAATTGGTTCAAATTGTAGCAGAACACCGAGCATTGCAAGAAAAGAAAATATAATAATAGTTGAAAAATTGGCAGTGCTGATTAACCACACTGCTATCCAATACAAAATGGCTCCAAGCAATTCAGAGAGCAGAAGTTACCTGAAGAACACAAGACGAGGTGCGATTAAATTGGGGTTAGGGTTTTAACGTTTCTTACTTTGCTCTGGTCTTTCTTTACAAAGAAGCTTAACTTAGGGTTCAAGGTTGGTAATTTTTGAAGTGCATACAAACGTATCATTAAAATGTTATTATATATTGGTATATGTTTTATATTTATAATCATATTAGCCTTTAATTTTTACCATGGTTCTTATAACCGGATTATATCAAATCTGTCAACGTATCCATTTTAGTTCAAAAATTCAATCAATTTTAATTAGAAATTAAATCGAAGATTTATTTAATAAAAATATATATTTTAATAATATATTAAATTTAAAATAAATTTATTTAATAATAATTTTAATCTAATATAAATATTATTTGAAAAAGTATTATATAACAATAAAAATAATTTATAAAATACATAAATGAATAATAATATGAATAAGTATATTGTTAAACAATTTGATTACAAAGTCATTCGAAAAAAAAATATTATTGTAATTAATTTAAAAATAATAAGAGGAAAAAATTGCAAATAACATAAAAATAAATAAGAAAAAAAAATTACATCCAACTTACAAATAATTGTGAGAAAAAATTATATCATATTTTTCATTGCATTTATCTTCAAATTTTATACATTTTATTTTATTTCAAGATTATAAAACTCAGTAATAACTCAATGCATTTAATCCATTATTCACTCATCAATAACAATTTTATTTCTAGTATCCAATTTTAAAAACCATCACAATTTTAAAAAACTCTAATTTTAGAAAATCTCAAATTTAGTTTCATGAATATTATTTTTTTTACAATGTGAATTTTTAAAATTATTTTACCAAATTAATTTTCGAAATGAAGAAATTGTGATTCTTATTTATTGTATTTCCATGAATGATTGTAACGACAATGATAATAGTAGATCACGACGACACCTAAAGTGATGTCAGAATGAGACAATCAAATATAATAAGTGACGATAACGATTGAGAGAAAGAAGATTACAGTGAAAAAGAATATTGCTACCAATAAAATAACTTTTTCTCTTCATGTTTGTGTGTCTCTGTATTAAACTAAATAATAATAATAATAAAAAAAAAAGGAACAAAACAAAACACTGAAAATAGAAAAAATATTAATGTAATAATTAATGCACTTTAAATTTAATCTTTCAACTAGACAAATTATCTCATAACAACTATATTGGTTAGTCATTTATAAATATTTCAAAGTTAAATGAAGTTTTGTACTAGATAAAATATTATAAGTATTATTACAATTTTAAACTATCACTCATATACGATTTATATTTATATTGATACAAAAATAATTGTTATTGTTAAAGTTTTAACATAAAATTAATTGACAATATATGAAGAAGCCTAATAGGTATATACACCATTTTAACATAAAATTAATTGACAATATGTGGAGCAGCTTAACAAGTATATGAACCATATCATATGACACAAGGTAAGTGATGTGGACTTCCAACACACCCCTCTAATGAAATCTGTCAGACCAAGTAAAAGGTATCTTAAGGACAACTTTTGGTCCAAAACAACAACAAATTATATTTTTGACCCACAACGAAATGACAACTTTTGGCTGAAGACAATAGTCGGAAAGAAGTTAGGTTTTTTTGGCTTTGATACCATAAAAAGTATTTTTTTGCTACTCCACATATTGCCAATTGATTTTATGTTTGAACTTTAACATGATATCATAGCAGTCTCTGATATTACCAACATGACTGAGAAGTGAAGGTGAGAAAGACAATCTCAGCCTATGAATAACTATTGTTTAGAGTGTAGGAAGATATCATGGCAAGACTAAAAGCAAGGACCGAAACATAATATGCAATAATTGTAATCAGAACATGACTCTGAGAACTACTTTAAATTAATTGGTTATCCTGAGTGGTAAGGAGAACACCCTTGAGAAACTAGATGAGGTAGTAGTCGAGGGGAAGCTAGACAACAAGGAAACACATTAGTTCCTAAAGGACATGGTGTATGTAGTGACTAAAGCAAATATAGCGCAAGTCTCTGTTCCAATACCAGAACCTAACACCACGATAACAAATGTCGACAACTCTACTCCTGGTGGATTGAACGACAAGTAGTGACAAACATTAGTGAATCTCTTAAACAATGTCAAATTAGGCACTACTAAAAAGTTCTAATTTTATTCAATGGATTATCGATACAAGTGTTTCTCATCATATGACAGGAGAGTTAGAATACTTGACTGATGAGAGAAATATCTTGGAATGACCAGTGGGGTTTCCAGATGGAAAACGAATTTTTACTGCTAAGGTAAGAATGATGGTGCTCAGTGAAATATTAAACTTAAATAATGTTTTCTATGTGCTTAGCTTTAAATACAATCTGATTTCAGTATCACAACTTGTTGACGAATTAAACTGCATGACTCAGTTTACGGACAAATCTTGTGTTATCTAGGACTGTGTCTCGAGGATGGTGATTGGAACGGGTGAACAAAGAGAGGGGTTATACTACCTTCAAGGAATAATGCACTATACACCCTTCCAAATATTGGTGCTAGTAGAAATAATGCACTAAACAATAAAGCATGTGATGTTTGTTTAGAGCAAAGCAATGCAGAGAAAGTTTTACTCTCAATATTAATAAAATAGTGGATATTTTTTAGCTAATTCATTGTGACTTGTGGGACCCTATTAAGTTGTGTCTCATTGTGATGCTCGATATTTTTTAACTATTATGGATGGTTATTCATGAGCTGTGTGGATGGTTAAGAAAAAAGAAGAAGTTTTTACACACTTGTGTTAATTCTTTGTTATGGTAAAACGTTAATTTAATAAACAAGTGAAAGTTTTGCACAGTGATAACAATACAAAATTTGTTTGCATGGATAACTATTTTCAAAATCATGGGATTGTGTATGAAAGTACAAAAACTTCTTAACAAAATGGGTGAATAGAGCGAAAGCATAGACATATTTTCAATGTTCTAACTACATGATACTTAATCGACCGTACACCCTCAATTACATTAAAGGGAAAAACACCATATGAGATGTTGTATAACAAACCACCATCTTTTAATCATCTATGCATATTTGGATGGTTGTGTTATGTTCATAACCAAGAAATTAAAGGGGATAAATTTGCAAGTCGTAGTTGAAGGTGTGTTTTATTGGAATATTTGTATGGTAAGAAAGGTTAGCGGGTGTATGACTTGGGATTTGGTGTGTTCTTAGCATCTAGTGTCATGTTCTCTGAAAATGAATTTCCTTATGCTGAAACATAATTCTTAACATCTGAGTTGTCTAACACAGATTCAAGTAGTTTTCTACCTTGGAATAGTGTTAATAACATCGATGAAATAGAGATTGTGCAGGTTGATTCTGGGAATGGACACATTGTAATTTCTCCGCAAGAATCAGAAACCTTGCTTATTTACGTTAAGCAACCTTTTGGTTGTGGACGTCGTACTAAAATACTGACCACTCGGCTGCAAGGTTTTGTGACAGACACCATCTGCAACGTAGACCCATCTCCAACTTCACTTGCTACCTCCCACACCTCAGGTATACCTTATACTATAACACATTATATTAATTACGATAAGTTTTTTGTACACCACAGACAATTTCTAGTAGTTGTCAGGGCAAGTACTTAACCTAAGTCATTTGTTGAAGCCATGAAAGATGAATGATGATAGCAAGCCATGCAGACCGAGATATAAGCATTGGAGAATAATGGGACCTGGACTTTTGAACCGCAGCCACTTGGAAAGAAAGCTATTGGGAAAAAGTGGATTTACCGAATCAAGTATAAATTTGATGGTTCGGTTGAACGGTTTAAAGCCCGTTTAGCGATACTAGGAAATAACCAAGTTGAAGGCCTTGATTATACTGAAACATTCGCTCTAATTGCAAAGATGGTAACTGTGCGCACATTTCTAGTTATTGCGAGTGCTAAAAATTTGGAGCTTCGTCAAATGGATGTTCACAATGCATTTTTGCATGGAGACCTAGAATAGGAGGTGTATGTGAAATTTCCTTTAGGATTTCGATATGAGGCTTCAGACAAAGTTTGTAAACTTCATAAGTTATTGTATGGGTTGAAACAAACTCCTCAATGTTGGTTCGCAAAAATTTTTTATACTTTGAAACACTATATATGGATTTACACAATCCTCTTCCGATTATTCACTCTTTACAATACAACGTGAAAATGTGCAACTCCATGTGTTGGTCTATGTATGATCTTGTCATTTCAGGAAATGGTAGTGTTGTATTCAAATCCTTCAAAACACACTTGTGTGCATGTTTTCATATGAAAGACCTTAGAATGTTGAAATATTTTTTAGGTATTGAGGTGACTCGTAAATCTACTGGAATTTTCTTGTGTTAACGTAAATATGCGTTGGATATTATATATGAAGTGGGATTGTTAGGAGCTAAGCCGGTGGCTCTCCCATGGATCCTCAATACAACTTATTGTTACTTGAAAGTGCTCTTCTTCCATATCCAGAATAGAATAGAAGGTTGGTGGGATGTTACTTGTCTGTTATTACGCCTGAACTTTCTTATTGTATATATACACTTGCACAATGCATACAACATCCTCGACAGGAACATTGGGATGCTACCTTACGTGTTGTGAGTTATTTGAAGGCTAATATTGAACAATAAATTTTGTTTAAGTGTTGATTGTGATTTACAACTCTATGTTTGGTATGACTCAGATTGAACTAATTATTCTTTGATTAAAATCT